CTGGTCTATCTTTTATTGGTTGTTTGGTTCTTTTCCTTGGATAATGGTTGAATGTGCTTGTGTGTATAGCCAGTGGTGGTATGATTGCCTCACTAAGTATTTATGAAATACTTATGCATCTCTTTCTTTGATGCAGGTAAAAGCAAAGTGTGATCCGTGTAATCATGGCGAGGAGAGGAGGATGATCTAGGCGCTCATTGGTGTTTAGATGATTGTAGGATTTGTTAGGATGCTAGAATGGAATTTAGAAGCATGTTAGGATGAATTCGTTTCTGGAATATTGATAGTTGAACTTGTTGGATTAATGGAATGGTTTGATTGGATTTTTGTTTAAGTCTTCCGCTGGTTACGTTGAGTTGGTTGTGTTAGTAAAATTGTATGGGTTGCTTTAAAGGGGTTAATCCGGATTGTTTGCATGCTTAAAAGAAAAAAAAAATCTTTCAATTTGGTATCAGAGCATTTACGGTTCTAGGACGAGATTTAATTGGTAGAAAAATTGTGATGTGATGTGTGAATTTCATTGATGAGGAATGATGATGTGGATTGCATGCTGATTGATTGTGTGTTTAATCAATTGGGTGAGCATTGAGACCTAGATCATCCTCTCGAGCCTTAAATGAGATTCCACGGTAAGTTGTGTGGTTTGGTGATTTGTAGGGTGTTATTAACCTTCTGTTGTGTTGCAGATGGTTAGAGGTGGAGCTGTCGGTCGTTGTCGTGGTCGTGGTCGTGGGCGTGGTCGCGGTAGGGGGCGTGGTGTTGACTCGGGTAGCGACACGAGTGTGGGCCGAAGTGCTACGGCCGATTTTGTTAGTGAGTCCCAGTCGCTTCAGGACGGGCCCGTGGGTGGTGAGAGTGTGAGTGCCGTGGGAGCCGGTTCGTCCGGGAACGGTACTAGTGTTGTTGGGAACCCGGTCGGGGGTGTTCCAACAGGTGAAGCCCAAGGTTAGAATGATCGGCTTGCGGATTTACTGACGCAGCTCTTGGAGCGGTTACCGGGTGCGGTACCGCCGGTGCAGGCTCCTCTTGGGCCTGGTGTGCAGGCTCCTCTTGGGCCTGGTGTGCAGGCTCCTCTTGGGCCTGGTGTGCAGGCTCCTCTTGGACCTGGTGTGCAGGCTACTCTTGGGCCTGGTGTGCAGCCTGTTGTTGGGGTTGTACCGCCTGTTGAGGTAGGTGCGGTGGTCGAGCAGCCGTACTACCTGCGGATGTTGGAGCAGCTGCAGCGGTTCGGGATGTCCTTGTTATTCGGAGGTTCCGACCCGGCTGTAGCGGATGAGTGGCGGGTGCGATTGGCGCGGTATTTCCAGTCGATAAGGTGCCCGGAGGCGTATCGGGTGGACCTAGCGGCCCACTACTTGGCGGGTGATGCACATTTGTGGTGGCGGAGTGTGCTGGCCAAGAGGGGGCAGGGATTGGCGGTGTGGGGAGATTTCTTGGCAAAGTTTAATGCCAAGTATTTTCCGGCGGAGGCATTGGACCGGATGGAGTCGCAGTTCCTGGCGTTTACTCAGGGCGAGCGGTCGGTGCGGGAGTACGACTCGGAGTTCAGCCGACTCTTGGTGTACTCGGGGCGTGCGGGAGATCCTGAGCAGATGCAGGTGCCTCGGTTCATGAAGGGTCTCAGCCCTGACATGAGGGTGCGGTGCAAGGTGCGGGCCTATGCATCGCGTGTGGAGCTGGTTGAGGTGGCGGCGGGGATCGAGGACGAGTTGAAGAGTCACGCGGTGATTTCTAGTCCGTCGGCGCAGCCGAAGAAGACCCAGCCACAGTCAGTTCCGAGCAAGGGTGGCAAACCTTCTCAAGGACAGAAGAGGAAGTGGGATGACACTTACAGGGTGAGCCAGGGTGATCGGAGGTGCTTCAGGTGTGGGAGTACGGATCACAGGGTGGCAAGCTGCCCGAAGAAGGGCGAGCCGTGGGTGGATACCCGTGTCTGTTACCACTGCAGAGAGACGGGGCAAATCAAGACGAGGTGTCCTAAGTTGCAGCAGATGGCGGTAGCAGCCAGTGGTGCAGCAATGGGTGCAGCCAGGATTGCAGCTGGCAGGGCAGTCGTTGGCTCAGCTGGGAGCACCGCCGGTGGCACAGATCGAGGGATCGAGGGGGTATACGACCGTGGAGACAGGAGAGCCAAGCACTGGACGGCCG